ATTATTTCCTTTGACAGTTAATTTTTTTTAATTTACGTAGGAGCGAGCTTACAGTCGGTTAATTGCAAAGACCCAAAATCAAAGTTGTCGTTGATAACTTACGATGTTCTTTTTCGAGTTTTTTCGAGTGAAATAAAAATCTTAATCAGAAACAACTCTAAAGCTCAAATTCGGTTCCGATCTATAACATTTTATAATTTTACCAAATTCCGAAGAAAAATAAAAATTTATAATTGAATAAAAATTTAATATATATACTTATATATCCATTATGACGATAAGAAGTCAGTCGTTTTATATAGATAAATTTTTGATGAATAATATTCGCACCATCAAATACTTTTTAAAATAATTATAATAAAAATTATTGGAATGAATATTACATGATGAATAGCATAATAAAAGCTTTTATATAAAATATGACGTATCATTAAAATTTTCGATGTTTTTTTTTAACACAAAAAAATGAAAAATTTTTAAAGAAAACCAAATGTCTATAACACGAATACCACATAAAAATATTCACAAATAAAATTCTATAAAAAATAATCACAAACCTTTAATTCTTATAACTTACATAAACAACAATTTCATTATAAGCATTTAGAATTTAAACCATCCAACTTTCCACTTTACAAAATATTCCCAGAAATGAATTGTTAACCAAACCCGTTAGTCTCAATGGGCATATCATATACTTTGGGACTCAATGATTTCCAATTTTCGTAGAGTTGTTGCGAATATTTGATTTGATCATTGACAAAATTCTGGTATAAAAGTGAAATAAACGCGGAGCTTTTATGAAATAGTGTAAGCTCAGCATAAAAACAGTGTCGTAGAAATATTTTCCGTTTTCGTTGTAATTCAATATCCGTTCGATCCTGAAAAAAGTATTAAAATAAATATTTGATTTAAAAAAAAAAAACATTTCAAGTAAAATGATTAAGTACTTTTTGAATAACGTTCGTCAATCTGTCAACTTCAAGTTCTGCGTCTTTAACTCCAGCCAACGGAGTGAGCTTGGCTTGATTGGTTTCTATTCGACTATTAAGGGTTTCGATCGTGTCCACAGCCAAACGATCTCTTCTTTCGAATGTCTCCTGATAAATAAATATATATGTATATATTTCAATACATTAAGGACTAAAATTATATTCAAGTTGAAACAAAACTACTTACCCTAAAAGAAACAAGCAGATCTCGATGTCGCTTCAAATTTTCCAACACCGTATCCAGAGTAGCAATGGCCTATGTTGAAAGCGCAAATTATCATGCGTATTCTGATTAATAATTATGTTCCATTCTATAATTACGTTAATAAAATATTTACCGCATCCTCCATAACAGCTCCTGTTTTTTGGAAATGGATTGACACTTGTTCTAGACCGTGTACTACTTGGGAACAGTTGTAACAATCATCAATGTAACACCCTTTTTCTTTCTCGATTAATGAGCTAAATTAGGAAATAATTTGGTTAATATAGATTTGGATATAAAATTTAAAGATTTGTAATAAACTTACTTTAAGGCTAAACTGTATCGCATGTAATCTGCTGCCATGCCTTAAAAGATAAATCATTCAAAGAATATCATTAATCAAAAAGCAAACCAAATAACTTTTTTTTTCACCAAGAATTGGCAAAGATTATAATTTACCTTCTTGTCTACGAGCCATACGTTCCATAAGGTTACACATATTTCGATAATGTTCAATGGCATCGTCAAGTTTATTGTATACTTTACTCAGTCGTTCATCCAAATTGTCCGGTATATTTGCTTCCATTTCAGGAGTGATCTGTTTCTTTATATATTCTTCTTCCAAGTCCGGAGTATTATTTTTACGCCATTCAGCTATCTGCTAATATGATATGATATGATAAATAAATGATTTATGATTAAATATAAATTTCTATTCAGAAATAAATCAATATAAAATATAACTATTATAATATATGTACCGATTGTTCCGTCAAAAAAATCTCGACCAAGGCATCATTCCTTAAAACAGGATGCCTAGTGATAAAATTCAGGAATCGAGTAAGTCCTTTCCTCCTCTTCTCCAGGAAGGTTTCGTCAACTGTGAAATAAAATCCATTCACTACTGGAATAAGTCTTCAAGTACTTTTTGACGGTAAGAATTAAGCAAATCATAAAAATTCCAAGACAAAATAGCCTACCACCAATTTTCTTAGGAGGCAAAGCAGGTAAAATACGAAATGGATATCGTTTTACTAAGCACTCCATTAACCACCAAAAATCACTATATCTCCTTACGACAGAGGTTTCGCGCCTCTGTGACTCTACAATGTAATTGACGTGCTTAAAAAGAAACCCTTCTCTTTCAGGTGCAAATTTTATTGAAATCACATCCACATCCATGAACCATTGGAATTCATCATCGCTAATCGAATTTCTAGTGATTGGTGGTTGCATTACACTGGAACGAAATTGTGATGGAGTTTCAACCGTATATTGTATATCCGCATATCCATTACCAGAGGGAATAGCCCAAGGGTCATCGGCCTGAAGAGAGGGAAGTGCGGGAGGACGTGATGATATGGCAGAGAAACTTAGGTTACGATTAAAATTGACGCTCTCCAGATTATTTAAAATTGGTTCCGGAAGATCTAAAGTTGAAACATCAATACAAGTGAGTTCCTTCAAAATATTGAACAGATTATTTGATTCTTAATATAAATCATCTAAAAATTTCAAGACGAACCTTGCTTGTGTTCGATTAGGTTTTCAACTGAAACATCTATTAATTTATAGTCCAAATAAGATATTTAACTTTTAGAATTCAATCATTAAGAAAAAATTAGATAACTAATAAAATCCTTTTAGAAATACCCATATTTTTTTGCGCTAAGGCAACTAATGCGAGCGCTACGTTAAATTCGCCACGGTTCACACGCGTATTATTTGTCGGTACAGCGCAATTCAAGATCTGGAATCACGAAATAGATTTAAAACGATTATCTTAAATTTTTTTTTAAAAAAAAAAAATAATAAAAATAAAAATAATACTTTTTCTATTGACGCATGAGGTAATCCACTTATATTTAGAATTTTGTTTAAAGCAGATATCGAAACTCTTCCATCATTTGATGACGCGATGGTAAAAGCAGATACGTAGATTTCGGGTAAAGCAACGTCCGCTATAAAGAAGTTTATTACAAGATCTTATTACTCAATGGAATTGTTTATTTGCAAGATACAATTTAAAGAAATGAGTGCTGCACAATCGACTAAACAGCAGCAAATTAGTCGATTTTGCAGGACCAAGTCCCAAATTAACAAAAAACACACATACACAAAATACTCGAAATATCGGTCCCTCCGCCAGGAGGATCCCAGGGGTTACCAATATTTATATTTAAAGGCTCAGAACTGAAGGAAAGAGACTGGACATCAGGCATATCGGAACTCAATGACTGGCCAGTCTCAAATTGCACCGACTCAAAAAAACTACCAGACATGTTTTCTTCCATTTCTCTCACTAATAAAAGATGACAACAGATTTAACTAAGATTGGATATTTATTTAGATAATTTTATATTTTTAAAAAATGTATGCCATAACAGTTTTTTTTTGTAGATGTTGATTTAAGTTCCACATGCATGTATCCCGTGATGTAATTCAAGGACCAAGAATTTCCTCAATAAGGATTTCCAGGAGAGAAAGATCCACTTTACAGGTCATTTACTACAAATCACAATGATTTGAATTTTACAATATTGGCGTATTTCAAACAGGTTAAATACATCATGCATCATGTGTAATTCGCCTTTGACAATTTTTTTTATTTTTGGATTAAATAAATCCAATTTTCGATTTTTTTTTTTAAAAAAAAAAAAGAAATTTGATTTTATTTTTATTTATTTATATATTGATCGAGATGGGTAAAGAACGCCAATATGTACAATCACACCATTATTTTAACCTAAATCTAAATTGCACTACATTACTAGTTTTTATAAGGAAAAAATCATCCAAAAATTAAAAAATCCAGTTAAACAGCATTAAGCCAGCTCAGATAATGCCTCATTGCTGGTTAAAGGGCTCATCTGGACACGAACGTATAGAATGAATAATTGCATGTAGATTATTTTAAATTTGATTAAAAAATTATGGGATTGATATCTATGTTACAAGTTTTTAAACTGGAAATGAGTGTTCAATTACTGATGTTTATTTTTATTATAAAACTTGATTTGTTGTTTAGTATTGTACAAAAAGTAAACAAACTAAAAAATAATAGATCCAAATAATAATATGTACATAAATAGAAGTATCTTCAACATTAAACAGTATTTCTTAAAATTATGACTTTTCCATCAATGTAAATTTGCCAATTCAATTATATAACATATTAAACCCAAAGTTCTCCGTCATAAATTAATCTCTTTTTTTTTTGGCATTTTTTTTGTCATCAGTGATTCCATTAAAGGAACAAACCATGTAATTGATCAATAAATATTAATGATAATAATGATAATGATAAATAATCGTAAATTAATGATCTATACAGAAATCTGGGTTTTCTTTACGTAATGAATCTTCTCTATCTTTATATAAAAAGATATCATAGAAGGGAAAGTGTGCAAAAAAAAAAAAAAATTTGAATATTAATTGTTTTTAAATAAATTAGAAAGTTCTTTTTTTTCTTTGCTTTCTCAAATGAGGAAGCCTTCGCTAAAATGATGTGAACCGGAATGATCATTATGATTATAATTATTCCTCGTTAGATTGCCCGTTGTGTGATACAAGTGATGTGGTGAACGTTGGTCACTTTCATAACCATTTCTTCTTGGACTAATAATAAAAAGAAAATTTTGATTTTTTTGTCACAAAAACTAAATTCAATTTAATCAAAAAATATTACGCTTCGTTACCTTGTAGGGTCCACCTAAATCAAATATATAATGAAAGAATGAAGAATATATAAATAAATAAATAAAAGATAATTACTATCATATACGCATACCCTAAATATCAAATTAAAGTGAAAAGAATGAAACCATAACATCAATTTTTAATAAATCAGAAAGATGATGATCATTTACCTCACTCTCTTCTTCTTCTTTAACATCTTTATCGATCCTGACATACCAACTTGGCACCCAATCTCGCGCATCATTAATTTCACAGTATAACCAATGACCTTGTTTTTTATATATACGAAGCGTATCATCCTTTTTCATATGAAGATCTTCAAAATCAATTAGAGCAACGCCGCGTCCAACATATGGACTGTCATCATCCATCATGTCCACTCCATTTACACTTGTTTCTAACAAGAAATTGGCAGGTACCCACCCAGTTTGACCATCTTTCTCAACAAAACACCATCCACCATCTTTGCTCCTAATTTTGAAAACATCTCCAACAGTAACACTAAGTTCATCATCAAGTTCTTGAACGTATGGATAAATGGCAACAGCCGTACCGTTACCTTCCACCAAATCCTCAGAATAACCATTTGATGTTTGATGATATACAGGTGATGGTTGATTTGAAGGCATCAAGTACTGATCGGGTGCTGGTGGTAATTCTTTGTTTAAAAATTGTGTCGTACGCCGTTTCGATTTATTTGCTTTTAATGAATTGATAATTTCCTCTGCTGTAGCAACAGGCGATTTAATCTCTTTAATATTTTTTAACATAAAAACTGGATTTTGGTTCGCTTCCTTTAACTTTTGAAATAACAATAAAGGTTTTTCATCGTAACTCAAACAACGCTCTGTCGTATGATCTGTGAACGTATAGATTATCCATCAATAAACTATAAAAAAAATAATATTTTCACCAATAAGTCAATTTTACCTGGAGTTCCATAGCAAATGAACAGGGCGTACTGACGCCAATCATCCGTAATCTTATATTTTTTTAAAGCCGCTGGTAAAACTTTATAACAAGGATCTTCAAGTGACACTCGGAAACTTTTATAAGATTCTGCTTCTCGACTGGTATTATTAGGACTGTGATTATTACCAAAAAACTTTATGGCACCTCCCCCCTCATTGATTGTGACTTGAGGTAAATTATAGTTATTGTTTTGTTTCTACAAAAATCATAATATGTCAATATATATATATAAATATATGTGTGTATTATGTCTTAAATCAATTACACATAATAAATCAAATATTAAACACGATTTACGTCAATATCATTATTGTAATTATTGTGATGACGATTTCGCGGTGAGTGAGGAGAAGGCGGTGCACTTGAACCATCCGATGAATACGTCGGAGACCTTGAATAATTTGTAATATTTATGCCGGGAACCGTAACGGAAAGGTTTGTCTTTAAAGCGCCACCATACTTTTTGCTAGAACCATTTCTTTCCAGCTCAGGTAATGGCTAAATGTTCCAAATTTTTTGTTACATATAAATTTTCGAGGAAGTTAAAAAAGAATATTGCTAAGCCTTTAACTTTATTAATATGAACCTTATTTTCTTTAGCAATTTTCCAAATTGGCGTCAATTCGTCTCGCAATTTTGATAAGTCAGTTGACAATCTTTGAATTTCTTTCGACAAATGTGAAATTAATGCGTCTAGTTGAATTTAAAGATTAGTCTTAATAAAAATACATAATTTTAAAATTTTTTTTAATTTTATAAATACCTCTCTCTTGAATTGCGCTCTCAATTTTACGAAGGTCTGGAATCCCATTCGTAACACTCATTGCCTAAATAAAAATAAAAAAAATTTTTTTGATAGTTAAAAAAGGAACAAATATTATTTAACTTAAGAGAAACAAAAAGTTCAAAAAATCATACATACACTTTCGAATTCTGCAGCTATTTAAATGGTCAAAGGTAATCAATTAATTTAAGAATTGCAATTATTATTATTATTATTATTTTTTTAAAAAAAATAAAAATAAAAATAGAATAATAATAAAATCAAACTTACAAGGGGGAACGTATTCGCCAATTTCAACGGGTATGTTATGCTGTATCTTCAGGTTATATATCGCTTTCAGTATGGAAACTCTGTGACCGACAGAACGAACGCCAAGATCTTTTAGTGCCTCATGATCCAAGTGAACTAGGATCTCTCCACTTATACCTTGTTCTGCATTGCATTAAGAAAATAATACAAAAGTTAAACGTGAAAAACACAAGAAGAGACGGAACGGTTCGTAAAAGCTTTGTTAATTGTTTGATAGATTGCGTCAGGTCTTAAAAGTACCTTTTAATTGTGATTCATATGAGGAATAGCCAAGAAAAGAAAGCCAGGAATGTACCTTATTTACATCCCATGAGGTTACAGGCTCAATTATTCGGTCCATTGGAAACTGAGGTGGATGGTGTGGAAAAGAGAAACAAATTTTTTTTGAATTTTTTTTTTTTTTTTTTGTAGAAGTAGGTTTAACAATTAATTTAGGATGTGAAAACGTGTGTTCAATTTATTGTATGCATTTTTCGTCTATCGTATTACAATCGTATTACCCAATCGTAGAACTTCTAAACATAAATAGGTTGCTATTTTCTAACTAGATATTCTTATTTGAATAAACTGTTAATAATACATCCAAGGTCCTTTGACGCAGTTTAATTATTATTAAGTAGAGGATTAAATAACCAATCATTTTAATAACAATGACAATATAATTTCAGAAATCAATTTTTTAATTCTAATATGGTAAGTTTACTTAGTTTTTATATTTAAATTAATGTTAACCAATAAATTGTCCGAGTCAATTACTGATTTGATCAACTTTGACCCATTGTGTGTGTTATAGCGTCATAAAAAATCCCCGATAATTGATCGGATCACTATAAAAAAATTTTTATATTGACTTTTTTTTTTAATAATTATTATTACCGTCACAAATTCTTTTAAAAATTCTTTAACGGTAAAAAGCTATCTAGATCCGAAGTAAAGTGAGAGACCTAAAACAAATTTAAAAAGTATTTTTTAGCAATATTGCGTGAACAACGGGCTGAAGTTTAAAGAAAGTCGATCTGTTGAAAGAAATAAATGTTACGACTTAGTAAAAAGCTATGGCACGTGATTTTATATAATTATCTGTCATCCTGTATCACTCACTTTCTTCCATGATTTATTTTTTATTTACTTTGTCATCCATTATTCGTTATATTTACATTAAGCAATATAAAATCACATGTTTTTGCTAATTCCTAAAAGTTGATCTTTATATATCAAACAAAATCTTTACGATGATCATTACCATCAAAATCCAACAATGATGAGCATTTTTATTTAAAATACCATTTTAATTCTTATAATAAAAAAAATTAATTATTAAAGATATCCAATTAAATATTTTTTATAGAAGCAAATTTTTTTAACTTTTATTTAAATTAATGACCTTTAATTATTATTTAAGCTTAAAATGGTTTAGATTAATTTAAAAAGTATTTATATTTAATTTAACATGATTTTTTAATTAAACCGTTTATTTTAATAACTAATAAATATTATAAAATAATTAAGAAGTTATTTTTTACATTAATAAATCATATTTTAAGAATCATAAAATATTTCATTGTTATTAAAAGAACAAAATTTTATAATATGAAAAAGATAAATTTAAAAAATAATAAAAAAAAAATTAATAAATAAAAATTATTTTAAAGTATTATTTATTTAGAATAATAAGTAAATAAAAAATTTATATTAATTTAAAAATTTAATAAACTAAGTTAAATTAAATATTTAGATTAGTTTAAATAAATTAAAATATTTAGAGTTATAATTATTACTTATTTTATATAATTATATATAAATAATAAATATATTTGATGTAAAATTTTTCAATAAAATAAAATATTATATAGAATAATTAATAATCATTAATTCAATTTATAAAAAAATTATATAATACTAATTATATAATATATATAAGTTAAAAATTTTTAATAAACATAATAACTTTTCTATTAAAATTTTATATCTATTATTAATGATTTAAATATTTATATTTTATATTAAATTTTTATAATTTTTTATAAATATATATATATAATATTTTAATTAAAGTATTTAATAATTTAGTTATAATATTTATTAAAAAAAATTTTATTATACTTATTCTTTATTTATTATATATAATATTTATTTTAAGATTATAATTTTATTTTATCAAATATTAATAATTATAATTATTAAATAAAGATTAATATTGTCAATGTAAAAATTAAGAAAATTACAAATTTTATAGCCGTCTAGACCAAAAAAAATAATATATTTGATTTGTGTATCAAAACAAAATGGGATAGGGGTTAGTAGATGTAACCACTAAAATATGCTTTTAACCAACCATGAAATTCTTGGATTTTTTTTATCTGTATTTAATCAATATGTTAGAAACTTTTATTTGTCATCCTCAATCCATCAATAGATTTTTCGAGAAAAAGGTCATCTAAAAATATCAATTTTTTATAAAGAAAAATTTTAGAACATGATTTCTAAACGTTGATCGTGAGAAAATCTCCTATATGCTGCGTCACATTTCTTTGAATTCCGCCTGCGCAATTTATTAAATTTTCCGGATTCAAGCATATCAATCCGAACTTAAATTTAGAGGATGAGTAATTCGTAATCGGTATTTTTTTTTTTTTTGTTTTACTAGAATTTCCTGGTTACATGTTTTTTTTTTTATTGAAAAACTTTCAACTTTTTACTTAAAAAGTAAAAATAAAATTTATTTACCCAAAAATCAACCAGCGTCAAAATATTATTAGCAAATATTGTTGTGTACCGCCAACCAACAAAAAATAACGAAAAAATTAAAAAGCAATTATAAAAATATATTTTAACGGTAAACTTTTCTTTGAGTTATTGTGTCATAGCACACTTCCTACTTAGCCTCCGACTATACAACCACCTATCATATCAAACCAGCTTATACTTCATACATATTTTCCCACCGTTCTTTTTATTTATTCTATTCAGAACGAACTGCACAAAAAAAAAAAAAAGAAAAAGTAAACCAAGAAAGCATAGTTTGAGAAATATGTCGTTCAAGGCTAGAAGCGGCTTCGAGTTCACTTTGCTGAACTACAATAACTTGTCAACTAAAGTTTACAGTCCTCCTTTTGCCACTTCCTTTGATACGTTTTGGCAGCTAAAGTTCAAGCCGGTATGTTTCAAATGCTAATTTTATCGTTTTTCTCGCTATTTATGAGAGTTATACTGTAACACCGTGGGAAACAATTACAAAAGTAAGCGGACGAAACGTGAAAATAGAACATAATACCTTTGTAAATAAGTTACTGCGGAATATCGAAATAACCATTTTTATTGATTAGTCTTTTTGACCTCGACGGCAGAACATTCAATTTTATAAAATTTACGATTTTATTAACCATTTTTTTTTACCATTTTTTTTTTAATTCCCGTTGATTCTTCCTATTTATGTTGATTATAAAGACATCTAAAGAAAATCCAGAATATTGCTCTGTATATCTCGTCGCCATTCCAAGTCATGAAGAAGGTGGCACGACATCAGCATGGACAAATCGTGCAACGTATTCTGCTGATATTTATATCAAACACCCAGAAACTTTAGTTGAAATAAAAAAGGCAACGTTGGACACAACAAAGTTCTCCGCTATTAAACCATTAAGGGGTATTCTAAAAAAAATTTTTTTGGTTTTTTTTTTTTTTTTATCTTTTTTTTTGACTATAACTAATTAAGTGTCACACGTAACTTTTTAAAATCAGGTTGGAATAGATTCTGCAAAAAAACTTTGCTTCCTTCCGATCAAATAATACTCGGTATAGAATTTGATAAAACCGAATTTGGTACTCCCGACGAGAAGCCAAGATTTCCTGGAAATGGGAAACCTTTCCCGGATGATCTGGTGACGGCCTGGGCGGATCAATTAAACAAACCAGAGTATGCTGACGTAGAATTTAAAGTGCAAGGGCAATCGATTTATGCAAACACAACTATACTTATGCGAAGATCTGAATATTTTCAAAGAATGTTTGTAGGAAGATGGATGGAGTCAATCACATATAATCAAGGTGAAGAAGAACAGCAGACACAGCAACAGCGACGACAACAGGAGCAACAGGTCCCGACACCCGAAGATGATGATGATACTGATATGGATAGCAACACTTCTGGAAGCAATTCGACATCATCTCATAAGCGAAGGAGAGTTTCTGATACTGAAAGTGATGATGATGATGATGACGATCGTTCCGTCCGATCGATGTGCTCGTCTCTATCAATAAAATCAAAACGAATTGTGATTGATGTTACTGATTTTCATCCGGATACATTTCTTGAGATGTTGCGATTTCTTTATACAAATCGAGTATCCTTCGGAACCAGAGATTCCCCAACGTCTCCTGTGAATCTTTTCAAAATTGCAGATAAATATTTAATAGAAAACCTACAACAGCACGCCAAAGTAAAATTATGTCGAGGATTGAATGTAAACAACGCAGCCGAGTTCTTATTCAGTACGGCATGGCAATACGATGAATTGAGGAATCATGTGATGAGCTACGTTGTGCAAAACTTTCAAATCGTGTGTAAGACATCTGGATTCAAGAACATTACTTCTAATCCATCTTGCTATCCACAATTTCATGACCTAATTACCGAGATCTTGCACAAAGTATTTGCAGATGGTGATTCGGATTATAGTGATTAATCGAACATCCTCTCCTAAACGAGGAATGACAAAAAAAAAAGGCTATTATTTATACTCGTGTACTCGAATTTGATTTGGAATTTCGGTATTGTGTAGTATCGCAGTATGATTATTATAATAATTATTATTTTTTCACCTCCCCTTTTTTTTGTTGAACATTTTTTTTTTTAAAAAAAAAAAATAATTTGCATTCTTTTATTATTATTATTGTGATCTATTGATCCTCTTTTTATTTTAATTAATGATTTTTTATTAATGAAAGATGTAAAAAGTAATAATAGCTACGAATTTGCTGACGTGTAAAAAATAATTGACTGGACTGGTAAACAAAGCTACGGCAAGTTAATTTGTGCTGAGCTTGATATGGTCGTCATAAAAGACCACAAAATTGTATTTTCATTTTTTTATTATTATTTTTTATTTTTGTCCTATATTTGTATATTTTTTTTTTTTTGTAATCATCTCAATTATCCCCACACTCTGCTTTACAAACTTCGATGCTAACTGCGCTTTCTCTCCTTT